CTGGGCAATCATGACAGGGAAGCCAGAGCTCCTGATGCCAAGCACCGAGCATGTGGGTCGCATGACCTTAGATCTGCGCGTGTTTGCGTACGAGATCCTTTTGGAGTTCATTCTCTGGACAGTGCGGGAGCGAGATGTTGGGCTAGGCGTTGTCCGAACGCAAAGAGTATTACGAATGGAAATATATTTTGGAGCGAATGTCAACGTTCTACACAGCCAAGAATGGCTCACCTCCATCCCCTTCGGCCACTGCGCTGGAATTGACCGCATCGTTTGCCGTTGCAAAACGGCCTTTTGGACCCTATATGTTCAAGCACGTCAAAGAAACGTACTCGAAGGGACGGACGACTACGTGTTTCGACGGCCGCCAGACTTGTCCGGCACATGGAGCCGACTGCCCGCCCTCGGCCCAACCGCAAAAGGAACAAGCGATCTACAGAGGCCTAGAAAGCAGCGTCATAAAGCAGATTAGAACGTGTCGTTGGGGCATGGATTGAGTTGATGTGTTGTGCGTACCTTGTGCGCAATGTGAGTTCGCTCGGAGTCTTGCAGCATCGGCAATGCACATGCTCATAAACGAGTTGGGAGAAGTCCAATACTTGAGCATGCATGTGTAGATTACCTGAACGTAGCTCGCGTATATAGCCTGTGCTGTGCATACTACGGAGACTGGCGGGGCCAAGACACGCTGAGCTGCGAAGTTGTTTCTTCGTCAGCGTGGAAGTTGGAATGGCACGTGTGACCACATTTCACGAATTGAACCAATCAAACTAGCATAAAGCTTTCATTGGACAAAACAAATTCCGCCGAAATCGATTCCTACGAATTCCAATCACAATACATATCACTCAATGAAAAACACAATTTACCCACGGTACTACTGCCCATATATACAAATAAAAACCCCTGAACACTATAAATATTCTCTGTTGATTTAGCTAATTTTAGTGTACATTTAGTGATATTGTTGGCTGATTCCGAAAGACAATTGTTCAATTAGCCATGAATGGCCAGTATAGTACAGGAGCAGCGACGCACGACACGGTCGATGTCAGGAATCCAGCGCGTTGCAAGGACTACTTCAAATGCGGCAACACAAAACTATAGCAACCCGAGTGCTCTAGGATCAAGCACATCACTGTCTGAAAGGTGAGAAACACGCTGTCTAGACTATCGTGGTCACCCACGAGAAGCCTCCATTGTGTGGCAAACTACGTCAACCACAAAGCGCCACAGTTTCTACTAAGTACGTATTACTGCATACTCAGGAGTATCAGCACTTCAAATACAGCACAGCAACATTGTCCCAATCAAATACTCCGGAGTATTGAAGATAAACGTTCCATTTAATTTGAAACTGGGGTACCCCATAAAATTTCCAGGGGTGGTAAAAA